AGGTTGCTCCAAGCCCTTTCCTCACCCATCCTTTGAGCTCCTGCACAGTTCCCTGAGCCTCTGCTGTCTCCCCAAGCCTCTTGTTTATAACACCTCCCAATGCTTTTTATTTTTGCTTCTCCTAACCCACTTCTAATCATCACTTTTTTATTTTGATTCTTCTTTTGTCTCTTTCTTCTGGGACTTTATTTCCGCTCCCCATGAACAGCTACCTGGCCCCTGGATGGTCCAGCCATGCACTTTCTATGGCAATAGCTCGTGCTGCTTTATTTGCGGTTTGCCAGAGGCACGTTCAGCCGCCCCGGGGCTACCGGCAAGAGGACTTTGGTGCATTGGGGGGGATCTGATTTAGCCTGTACAACCATGCAGCTTCCCACAGCAGCCGGCAAACCCGATAGAAAAGTTTTGGCCCCGCTGTGCTTTATGAAAAGAGCCTGTGAAATCATATTTAAGGTTGTCTCTTGAAGGTGCCCTTTGGAAAAAACTCCTGCCGATGATGTTCAACTCGGGTTTGTAGTTAACACAATGGACCTGCCGTACAAAGCCGCGCGGGACCGCAGGCTGGAAAAGCCCTCTTAGGTCCCAGCTAATCCGTCCCCCCCGCCAGCCCAGGGGATTGTTCCTGACGGCTTGTTTTCTTTGCCCTGACCTACATAGTCAAAAAGAATCTTGTTGCACATTTTTGTTTTGTACCTTGAGGTCTCGGAGGAGCCAAATCCCCTTCTTGGCGGGGCGGGATGTGTTGTTAAACAGTGCTGGAGTCTCCAGCAAAACCATGGAGACGCGGGGACAAAGAGCCCTCTATGGTCCTCGCTTGGCTGCGGGATGGTCCTTCTTCTCTGGGCTTCAGTGGTGGGCGCCGGGACGTGCAGACACGGGCGATGAAGACGTCCGTGCAGTTGGCAGCCTGTCCTGCAATAGAGCGGTCACAGCAGCTCTCCAAGGCAGAAGGTTGAGGGGGGGCAACTCAGCCGCTCTTAATTAACCTATTTTAGATGATGGAGATGAAGTCTGCATCTCATACGTGCTCAGCTGTGCTCTCATGGAGGGGTGGAGAATCAAATCCTCTTAGGTGTGAGGAGGTCCTCATGGGAAAGATATGGGAGCTGCTGTTCGGGTTTTAAGGAAAATAAGGGTGCGAAAGGTGGGGTGGAAGAGAGCATTTAGGAAACCTGGTCTGTAGTTTGCTACTTCCTCGCACAAATCAGCAGGGACCAATGGGGCACTGAGAGGGTCCTTTGCAGAGGTGAAGGGCTTCAGGTGCAAATTTTGGGGGTCTGGAGCAGGGACTGTCATGGACACCTGAATTAATCTGCTTGTTGCCTCCCCTGCTGCTGGGGTCAGCAGTGGTTTCTCTAACAAGCAGCTGGAAACCACCTGGGACTCCGAGTCTCCTCCCGTAGCTGCATTCACCTAAGATAAACCCCTGAGCTCCTGGAGGGGTCCTACGCCTCCCTGGGGAGCTTTTTTCATTAAAGATGCTTACAAAACCCTTGGAAGATGTTGAGGTGGAGTAAGCGTGATAAGAAAAACTTGTGGCATGGTTCAGACAAAGCCGGGGGGTTATCTGGGGACAGAAGAAATTTGTGGTGTCTTTGACCCCAAAAGTGCCTTCCTGCCGCAGCTGAGAGCATCAGGGCACTGGGGTTCTTTGCCACCCACCTCTTCAGGGTGTCTCAGTTTTCATATCCCCTGTACCGCTAGTTCAGCCCAAAAATAGAGAGAACATAGCAGGAGTGTACTATGGCTAAATTAATATACCCATAAATAAATGAACATTAAATATTAATAAATTTATAATTAATTATGACTAAATTAGTAATGGAATATCAGCGGAATAATATTAAATAAATTAATAAAGACTGGAAACCATTTTTTTGTGGTTAATGCCACCTGACCAGGATCTTTGCCAGCTTTCAGATCAACCACCTGCTGTCTCAACAGCTTTTTCAAATCTTCTATTTCTGTTTGTTTTTTCTTTCTGGTGGCTGCTGCAGCTCTTAGATCTGTTCATCCAGTGGGACTGGTCGACGTATTTGGCTGACTACGGGCAACCCACATGCAAGTATCTTCGCGTGAACCCGACGACGGCCCTCATCCTGCTGGAAAAGTGAGTGCGGGTCCAGACACCCAGGGTAGTTTTCACCCCCATCTTGCTTTGGGCAAGCACATGTTTTAGCAGCTCATTCCATCAGGTACAGTGCGTGGACACGTGGACAGAGCAGCCTGGGGAGCAGGAGGCTGCTTGTGATCCAGTGAGATAAAATTTCACCCCCAGGTGGACAGTGGGAGCTCGAATAGAAAAATCCTGTTTTATCCCACTAACTGGATTCCAGGTTTTGTATCAAAATACATCGACTTGGGTGAGGGTCTGTCTTTTTGCTTCACTCTTAAGCAGAGTTTTCCGTGTTTTACAACAGATTTCCACTATAAAGGTGTATCTCAAGCCCACAAAATCAATTAAAATTTGCTAGCCTGCAGGCACGTATATCTCCTTTCTCTTGGATCCATGGAGGGGACCAAGTGCTAAAAGCCCAGCTATGGGACAGGGACAGTGTCTTCAGGTGGCTGTGTGCTCCAAGGTTTGCTTTTAGCAAGGACATGCTCTTTGATAAAGCTGAATCTGAGCCTCTCTGAAGCCTGTAGTTTATATGCTTTGCACAGCTTCAGCCCAAGCCCTGGAGCTGTACCAAGCAGCAGTGCTGGGACACGCTGGGCAAGCGCTGTGTGGACTCTGCAGCACTTTGGCATCCTACCTGAAGCACAGCGAGGAGGCTTGTTCCAGTCCTACAAGCCAGAAGCAAGGAGAGGAAGCCCATGAGTTTGCTGCAGACCCAAAGAGTGGGATTTGCTTCACTTGTAACCCCTCTAGCACGTGGGAGAGAAGTGCCACCAGTCACTCATCCTGCCCATGATAGGAGGTGACCCAGATGACCCTTTCTGTGGTAGATCTCCAGGCTCTCACTGCGAGGATCAGCCTACTCCTGCCCCTTTGCTACCATCAGACCTCACAGCTGGTCACCAGCTGATCTGAGAGAGAAGTAACCTGCCAAAAATTATAATTAATAATTTTCTGAGCTCTGCTAAGTCTTGCACCAAGGAGCAGGCAGGATAAGCGAGTTGCAGTTAGGTTTGGTTAGGTTTGCCATGGAATCAGATCCTGAGGAGGAGTTTGAGTTGTTTTTTGGAGTTCCTTCCTTTCTTCATTGCTTGTAGAAGATGAGTTGACTAGTTTAGAGTTGGGGCTATACCTTTAGAAGACTGACCTTGGTGTGCTGCTGAACTTTGGAGTTGCAGCTGTATTGCCTATGGTCCATGTAACCACACCACCTCCTCTTCCGCAGAGGAGAATAGCTAATTTCACTGAAACTCATGACATCCAGATGTTATCAATACAGCACACAAGGACTAAACTTAGGTAGTTGCCGTGTGTAAAGCACTTTTATACAGTATAGCATTGGTTTTATATACATATTTATATGTGCTGTGTAATATGTTGTGCTATTCACAACATATTCACAGCCTAACATCCATGATGCAAAAGCATGAGGTATATTCAGAGCTATCAATAAAATGGTAAAATAAAGAGCTATTAAAAAACTGAGAGCTTGGACATGGAGCAGCTGGAAGAGCCAAAGAATTTGGAACAGTCAGTGAGCTGGGATTCGTGGCACTTGCTGGGAAGGCAGTGGGACAGCAGGTGGGCAGCTCCATTTTCCCCAGGTAGTACTTGAGCGCACAGCATCCATACTCAGTGGTGGTATTAAAAAGCCACAAACCCCAGCTCAGCTTGCCAGCATTCTCCCTGAAAAGGATCTCATTTGAACGGCATTTCCGATCCGCATCCGATTTGCTTTCAGGAGGCAGCCCAGGTGGAGTCACCAGGTTGGCACTTGTGTCTTCCGCATCCTTGTGTTGTGGCATCGCCTGTGTGGCATTGCCTTCATGGCATCACTAGCATGGCATTGCCTGCATGCTCTGCGTGGCTTTGCCCTATCCCCCCTTGGGCTTCAAGCCCTTTGGGGGGTCTCCGTGTGTCACCCAGGGGCTCCAGCTCCCCCAAGACTCTGCACTGACCTGGCCGTAGCTTCAGGCACGTCTGCTCCCCTCCACACTCCAAGCCCACCTCCCCAGCCCTCTCTGTAGGCAGCTGAGCTTTGCCGACAAGGCGATGTGAAATTCTGATCCGCTGGTTCGTTTTGTAACCTGTTTTCATCATTATCTCTTTTCCTAATCACACATCTCTCTCAGGATATCACGAGTGTAAGTATGCTGCTTGCTTGGGCTTTTACCCTCACCTTGCAGTGACTTTATTGTTTAATTTAAATGGAGCACTAAATGATCTAAATGCAAGCTGTCTTTGAAACGGTTCCCTACGGTAACTTTATCGTCTCAAATGCACTAATTAGAGCTAAAAGAGGAGCTTTTACTCTGTTGCTTTTTTTTCTTATAGATTAATTTAAACAAAGCTTGGCTGTGTTGAAGGTGGTGTTTGTTGACAGGGGTGGGGACAACGCTGAGCTCTCTCTTTCCCTTCCTCTTACTTTTAATTCTTGCGCTAACACACAGGGACCATGTTACAAAACCGGGCTCGGTTGTCGCAGGGCTCTGCAGGCACATGCTTAAAGAAATAAAAGTATTGAACCTCCAAAGAGCTTCTGAGATGCTTAAAAGCATTGCCTCCTTTCAAAGCCGATATTCTTGGTGTCTGGATGCACCGCTTGACCAGGGACTGCGTGTTTCCTATAGCCAGATAATGGAAAAGAAAAAGGACAGCATTCGTCATCACTGTCTGAACACCTTTGGCATTGACCACATTGCGTCAGCTTGGTGTCTTGTCTGCAGGGCTCTGATAGCAGGACCAGAGCCAGTGTGGTCTCCTCAAGCAGATCTGCAAGCTCCGCCTTTCCCAAGGATGCAGCCGCTCCCAATGCTGCCAGGTCCCTAGCACGGCACAACCCAAATTCTGCAGGATTTTGTGTCCTGTAGGCAACTTAATTGGTTAATAATACTTAATAGCTTAGTTCCTCTACCTTCGTATGATACCAGCAGCTCACGTCCCTCCCGGATACTTGTCCACAGTTAAACAGATCCACCTGCATTACTTTGCTGTGGGATCAGTGCTCTGACTGAAATGCTTTTTCATCCCAATCCAGCAGCTTTATCCATGCAACTCCTTTATAATTGTTCAAACATGTGCAAAAGTTTTCTTGCATTACTTCAGAAACATTTCATGGACCTGAACAGGTCCCACGGGGTCGAAGATGGCTCTGAGGATGCCCAGGATGAGAGGGCTCTTAGGGCAGAGGATGCTCTGCTCTAAATTCCCCATGCGTTACCTGGGGGTAACTGCAGCAGGCAGTGATGGAGAGTGATGGGTACAGCACTGGGTGGAGGTTTCTGAAGGTACAGGTTTACTTTCAGCGCCTCTGAAGTCCCCACATAGCCTGTGAAATAGAAACAGAGATCTCAGCCCTCCTGCTAAAGTGCTTTGAGACCTGCTGGAGCCATACAGCGCTGCTGGAGGTGTCCCTTGGGAGGATGGTTATTACCAAAATTCATACACCTCTAACTTGTGTGACTTAAAAGCACCGCTTCCTGTTGGTGCGATCGCTCCCTGGTTCTTGCGGTGGAGCAGCTGGCAACCTGCTTTGGTTTAAAAAAAAAATAGAGAAAGAAAAAAATAATACTTGTTTTGCTGAACAAATGTGCTCCAAGCTATCTTGTTACTGTTGGGAAAGCAGCTCGATTGTAATCCTTTGTCTTTGGGCACTTATAACTTTAGCAAATTAGCCTTTGGGATGAAGTTGTTATCCTTGTTTCCAGTTCCAAGCTGAATGTTTTTGGGAACATTTCAGATTCCCTTTGGCTCTTTTTAGGAAGATTGAAGCATGAAAAACGTTAGAATTTTTTTTTTTTTTTTATCAGTTAAATAAGTTTCAAGAGGTTTGATTTGTGCTTTGTTAACTCAAACCCCCCGGTTTGATAAAGTGCCAACTTCCCAGGGACTATCCGCACTGTGTCCCAGTCACTTTAATGCTTCATTTAGGTCCCCAAAGCCGAAAACACAGGCTTATGTGACTCATCTAAAACCATCTGCCTCTGCCAGATCTGATTCACAAGAAAATCATTTACAAATTGTGGTATAAAAGAGTGGTGTCGGCTGAGAACCAGCGGGTTGGATGGTGGGGCTGATACCTTCAGGAGCTGTTGAAGGGTTGACCCTTGTGGGGTGGTTTCCCTTCCCAGCACATGCCCTGCCTGCATAAAGCTAACGCTTGGACTGTGCAACTAGACCTGCCCCCCATCCCCCCCCCAAAATACACATCTGTGAATGCAAGCATGCATGAGCACCCAGCTTTGCATGGTGGAGAGAGATGGAACTGCACCAGCTTCGCCTTCAGGTCCCATCCCACCACCTGCTCTTTCAGTCTCTGGCTTTTTGGAGACATCATGGAGACCAGTGTGCTAGTTTATGTATTAAATGTAATTAAAAAAAAATCCAAATCTCAGGAAGTTGTAAGTTGAGGAAACCAGTGTTGGATTCCTTCCTTTTATATTATATAATATTGCATAATATTTTAAGTTCATAACTCTGAAACTTTATGACTGTCACAAAAGCTGCATCTCTTGACCGCATGCAGTGCACCATTTCAAATAAGAAGCCTTAATGCTGTGGATTTGATGCTAATTTTTTAATTTCCTCCTAATATTACAGCATTGTCATTTACCGTTTCATGAGATAACACAGGGATGTAGGAAAAGCTGTTTGGAAGGGGAGAACAAGAAGCTTTAGGGTTTCATGCATTTTGGCATATAGAGCCTGCAGTGATATTGATTTGGATTTGTGGGGTTTAAAGCAAAACCGCAAACTGTGTAAAGCCTGCACATGGCATGATATGCCCGTCGTTACACAAATACATGATAAAAATTGGGACAGAGCCTTTAGGTGCAGTCACCTCCTCTCTATCAGAGCCTGAATATGGGCATTTTACATGCAATTCTGTTGTGGGACTCGGTTGCAACACTGAGCAGTGATACCTGTGCCATAACCTGTTTCCGCTCTGTGCAGGATGAGAGACACGAGCAGAAAAAACAACGTTTTTGCCCAGTTTCGGAAAAACGAGAGGGACAAGCAGAAGCTGATCGACACTGTGGCCAAGCAGCTCCGCAGCCTGATCAACAGCCATCACTCGTGAGGGACTCGGGGACCTCCTGCCTGCGCCGGTCCCTGCACCACAGCCTTCCACATGTCTGGACTTGGGATTCTTGTTCAAAGAGAATATATGTATTTTTTTATTCACCTGTATAGTATTCATGAAACCTACCCTGATGACAAAATGTTCCTTGTTAAACAATCCCGGGAAGATAGGCAGCACTCCTTGTGAAGGTGGTGTCAGGAGTCTCCTATTATAAACTCCTATTTTCAGGGGTTTATAAAGTGACGGTAAATCCTGAAGCCTGAGAGAGAAGTTCACACCCAGACTACTTTTTTTTTTTTATAAGCCAAATTGAAAGAATCGGTCTGACTTCCTTTTGTTAACTTATTCAGTTGCAGAACAAATGAAAACAAAAAATATAGGGAGGAGTCATGGTTTCAGGTTCTTCTCGTGGGCTCTAGTAAAGGAGCAAACGTTTAGAAAAGAGGGTCACCCATTAGTTTGTCTTGCCAACTTGCATATTGGATTTAGGTAGGAAAAGAGGCAAACTGATTTCTCAACTTTTCTCCTGTTTTTCCTGTAAGGGCTGATTTCTGCCTTAGGCTGCAGATCGCTGGAGCTGCAACCCTTGTCCATGCATCTGTATTCAGTGTAGCCACCCCCTGAGCTCCACCTCTAGGACCTGCTGGTGTCTTTTGGACTTGCACTGAATGTAGAAGGGCTTCAAGAGCTGCCTCGTTAATTAAATTCGGAAAGGAAGAGCCAGAAGGTAACCTGGGAGGTTGTCCTGTGGTGCTGGTCTAGCGCTGGGATGTTGCTGCTCGCATCCAGCATGGTCGGGTAGCAGGAGAGCAGGGATGCTCAGCAGGGAAGGTGCAAAGGCAGACTGGGCTCTCCAGTGTCCTGGGCACTCCGTTCAGGTTTTTTTCCTCTCCTTGCACCTCTTTTCCATGCTGGTGTCCCGTCTTCCCTCTTGTAATACAGTGCAATGGCGTAAAGTCCCTCTGCTTTCCACGAGCGCTCTGGCTTGCGCTGAGCGAGGAGCAGCCCTGCAAACTCACCGCTGGCCAGCATGCCAAGCGGAAACCTCCTGGAGGTCCCCAAAGTAGAGGCAGCAGGAGATGCCCCATAGAGCAGCATCGCTTAGCGACCCCCGGCTCAGAAGTGCCTATGGACAAAATTCCCCTCTCTGTTCTGGAGGTGCCCAAACTTCCTCTGCTCAAATCAAGACAGCCTTTGAGAAGGACAGTAACTCTACCAACAGGACTTTAATCCCAAGGTTCAGGTTACAGAGAGAGGGGACTTTCCCCCTTATCTTCTCATTACCCTTTTGACTCTAATTACTGCAGGTGAAAGCTTATCCAGCCGGTTCCCCCATCTCACGAACCCTGATGTTAAAGGGAATTAAAGTTTTCCTAGTGTGTGTTACGGCCCTGGCAGTGCTGCTTCAGCAGGGACACACGTTGTGCCCATTTTCTGCCCTCATTTGAAGGTGGTGGGTGCTCAGCTCTGCAACCACTTCTGGAGGCAGAGGGGGGTTTTGCTGACCTGCAGAGCAAGGTTCCTTCTCCTTCCCCTCCCTCAGCTCAGACTCCTGGAGCTATGGAGAGGCAGGACTTGTTCGGATGCCTCCATATGGCATTTGCAGAAGGGCAGCAGCACTTTCTTGGTGCATTCGGTCCCTCTGCTCTCTGGCCACATGCAATTTTTGCTGTGTGTTTCTTGCCTGGGGAGCTCTTCAGACACTCAAGCTCTGGATGCATGAAGGGGATGGTGCTTTATCGTCCCTCCTTGTTCCTCAGCAATACTTTTTTTGTTTGTTTTCTTTTTGATAAGGGTACGTGTTAATTAACCCTGAAAGTAAATAGCAATGTCGGCATTGACTTTCTGGGGCTGTCATCCTGTCCAGGCAGTCTCCAGTCACAAAGGCCAGTGGATTATTTTCATTAATAGGAGGGAAGAGCCAAACTTGGCTTTATGGTTCCTTGTTTTTGGCGGGGGGATCAGAGGTTACTTTCTTCTTAATGCCTCTTTGAAGTACATGTAAGAAGGATGGAGGAAAAATGAAGCAGCTGAATGAAAGTTGGTGTTAGCGTGGCCAGAAAGAAATCTTCTTTGCAGATACATCTACATACGACCCAGCAAAGGCTTTCAGAGGGACAAGTGGAAATGAGCTCAGTCCATTCCCTGCTGGCAACCTCTTTCCTGCTCTCCAAAATGCTGGACCTGAGCGTGAACCAACTTCGTGAATGAAGCCCCCTTTCGCCATGGCCCCAGTGAGCCCCAGGGGATCCCCAGCTCAATCTTGGCTTCCCAAATCCATCACAACTGAGAGGAAATATTGCCTGGCTTGCCGGACTCCAATAGAAGACTCTTCCTCACTGAATTCCTGGGGAAAGGAAGCAGACCGGTCCTTATGGTCCCGGCAGTGATGGGAGGCCCTCAGCCCTCCAGGCAAGATGTGTCCCATGAGCTGTAGGACCATGGGGTACTTTATTCCTCCTCCCTGTCCCTCGGCAGTGCCATCATGGGAGGGATGTGGGGACAAGAGTGTGAAGAGGGTGGCAAAAGCAGGTGGGATCGGCTGGTTCAAGCATCAGACCTGAGCTCCTACCCAGAGGATGGAGATCGAAACAAAAAAAACAGCTACTCGATGGTAGCGGTAACAGGGAAAGCTTCAGTCCACAGGGCACTTCAGTTAAGGGCCATTAAATAGTAACAAGCACTTTAAAATCCTTCAGAATCAAGCTGCTACAGATGCTGGCAACAGCATCACTGAGCATCGGCAAGCATGACAAATAAGGCACGCTGGCATTTCCAGTTTTTGTTAGCGGGAGGATAGACTGTCAAACACAATTTTTAATCGCTTTTGTCAGCCACTGGCTTTGCTGCCAGGCGAGGCGGTGCTTTGCAGACAGGATGATTTTTCTTTCCTCCGTGCTAGGTGTGGGACGAAGGGAGAAGGAGCAGGCACCACAGGGCAGTGTCGCCTCCAGTCCCTGAGAACGGGAAGGGGCTTTATGCTGCTGAAGGTGTGAGAAGGAAAAAAACATCCAGATCCTGCCACTGCCTTGAAACTCCATTTTTTTCCCCCCAACGGGTGACCCCTATGCTGCATTGCATGAGGTATACCCTCAAAAAATCCCCAAAGCAGCTGTCATTTGGGGCAAGACTTTGTTTCGGATGCTCCAGACAGCTCCTAGCCTTCCCCATCCCATATCTGGGTTCTCTTTCCCATCTCCACTGAGCTTTAGTTAAAAGAGGAGCGACACAGCATTGCCATGCCTGCCTGGGATGGATTTCCTCACTCCTTTAAGCTCTGCTTGGAGAGGCCGGGATTGGGATTCTGCAAACCGGCTTCTGGCACTCAGGATTTGCTGCTGGGAAAGTCAAGCTCGGCCAAGGGAGAGATTCAGCGAGTTTCTGATTTCGGGAGGTCAAGCGCCTAACCGCAAGTCACAGACCGGGATGAAAAATGGCATTTTGGTGCTCTGGTCCTAATTAACTTTTTGTTCCAAGAGATGCAGTTCCATCCCTTCAAAATAGAATTAATCTTTTAAACAGATTGCTTAAAAAGCCCTGGAAGACATTTAAAATCCCCTCTAAATCTCTTGCTAATGATTGGTATCCTCCGATACGGATGGTATTGCTTATGAGGGAAAGGTTGTTGCTATAAATTTATAAGGGGGGTGGGAAGCAGGGGTAGAACCCACTGCTGTAATCGAAGATTTGCAACCCCCAAAACAAATAATGCTGCTATTAACACCTCCATGTACATACATTGAACCTTCCTTATTTTTTTTTTAAGCAGTGGCTATAGAAAAGACTGGGTTATCCTCCCCTCTTCCCCCACCCCCGCCCAGCAAACATATTTCAGCACCAGTGGGAAAAAATTATTAACAGAAAAGACAAGTTTGGCTTTCTGAGAAGCATCTGCACATCTTACCTTCTTTATATCTTCAGGGGTTGTGCAGGCAGCCTGGAGGTTGGGACGAATGTTATAGAAGGTTTCTAAAGTGCTAACTTGCAGCCCAAACTGTACCTATACATGAGGGAGATGGTCTCCGTTAGACATCGGCACATGTGCATGTGTGTGAGAGAGGAGGAGATTTTTTTTATGTTTGGTTGGGTTTTTTTTATTCCTAGGGCTGGAGTTCAAGTCAGATGCTCTTAGCAATTTTGCACTTTGTTCTACATCCAACTGCAACTCCAGGCTGTGATGCTGGAGCGGGGAAGAAGCTGGCCGGTGCTTTGTTCGAGGGGCTGTTTTGGTTTTGTTTTCTTAAAAATTGCCTGCTTTTGTGCTGCTATGAAAATGGTTGCTTGGGCAGAAGTTGTGGGTGTTTGCACGCTGGCTCCAAACTGTTTGCAAGATGCTGGGAGGCAGCGTGGAAAGCAGAGGCTGAGGTGGAGCCGGGGCTGCTCCGGTGGCATTGGCTGCTGTGGGCACCTCCTGTGCTGAAGTTGTTTTTAGGGTAAAATCTTTTACCCGCCGAGGTAGCAATGATGGGAAGTGGCAGGTAAGGGAGGTTTGCAGTAGGTGTCCCTCCAGCATCCATTCAAACCCCAGACAGAGACATCTTTGCCCTTGGTTGTTTCCTACCTCTCCGCCACACCTCAGTTTGGCTTTTCTCTTTAATTCTGGGTTGGATTTGGTGCTTTTTTGAAGCATCAGGTGGTTTGGAGCATCAAATCACCCTCCCACACCCTGACTGGATGCATGTCCTGCCCCTGGATGCCACGGGGCTGCTGATTACCTATGGCTCTGTGGTGCCCAGAGACCCTGTGTCCATCTCCCCCAGTGCAACTCGTGTGTTTATCACACTGCTGAGGACCTTGAAGGGAACAGGGAACAGGGAACACAATTTGCAAATAAATCTCATCACAAATGACTTCAAGATGGGCCCTTCTCTGCTGTCAGCTGGGGAAGTTGAGAGTTTGAGGGAAGCAACCCAAATATACCATGGTCTGGGCAGGATTCACCCCAGAAACAGCGGGTGGAGAGGGGCAGCTCAGGCTGTGACCTGAGGACTGGTTGA